CAAAGACCATATACCAATAGATACATCAACATTATTTTTGTAATTTGATTCAATATGACTGCCCAATGTCCAATTCTCGTGTAAAAGCACTAAATCATATTTTTTTTTACAAATCCATCTCCTATTAATGGTTTCAATCTAATCTCAATGACTTCATCAGCATCAAATTGATATGTCAGATCACAAAACTTTGGACGGGGACTGTGTCATTAACAATGACTTGTTTATTCTCGTTTCCAGCAACCAGTGCTCGGGGTCAATATAAGCAGGTGAAATTAGTTGCCATGTGACCTCGATTCATTGGCCTATAGTTATATGTCCGAACGCATGAAACCAACTTGAATGATAAAAAAACGTCGTAAATTTGTTTATGGAACTTGAATTGGATACACATTACACCTTTCAGGAAAATGCTTCACATGTATGTGTATTATTTCGGGAGAATTAAGATAAATGTAATTTTAAACTTATTTAACACAGACTGGAAAAGAATTGCCAAGTGAAGTAAGTATCGGTACTTGTGAAAAAACTGCTTGGTATGTGAAACAGTATGCCCCATCGCAATCAAGCAAACGCCCCGTTTTATGAAACTGAGATGTTGCATTTCGAACAAAATTTGATCATTACATACACTCAGCGGACATGTTAGCCGAAGTATATGTTTTTTTTTTAAACAAATGGGTGCGTTCGGGATTAGTAACCACAACAACCACAACCACGCTGTGGACCATGATGATGGTCACATCGTAATTAAAGATGGCGGAAAGGCGTTCCTTCAAGTCGGACAATAAACTGATTGCAAATATGAAACGTGTTCGTCTTGAAGTTCGTCCTTTTAGCTAGCGCATGCTATTTTCGTATTTTCTGACTCATGTTTTTTTTTTCATTTTGTGAAATTGGATGAAAGTGCGAAGCCAAAAAAAAAAATGTTTTGTTAATAGCCATCTTTTCAGTAATGGCAACAAATCAATCGTAATAATCATCGTGCCTTTCACGTAAATAAAATGTACCCAGATCATCGGTGCCTGAATACCATCAAACGCGAATAAAGACAGTTCACGCAATCACGCCTGCCCAGTGATGCAATTGTAAATATAAACACGGCCATTAAGCGCAGCGTTGATGGATTGTGTATTCGTGTACTGTGTATACACACGTCACCGTTGCCAAGCTAACTGTCCGATAGTAACTTTCAATTATGACATATCACAAATATGATTTTATTACTATTGAATCAATATGAATAATGATGGGAAAAAATATGAATACGGAAAGAGTTTACACGTGACTCAGTAGTCTGAATATTAATTCAATAATATAACTTGTATAAACATCTCACGTAAATCAGTTCATACTTTATTCCTCGTACAATGACGGAAAAATAACGGAAGATAACAATTCTTTTTTTTTCTTTTCCAGAATTCGATAAATGACCTGTTTTTTTGTTTCAAGAACCATAGATGTCACAGGACTATTATTTAATGGTTGGTGATTTTGTTTTTTCAAGATAGCAAGGGACAAGGGAAAGTGATTACCAGGGATGTGTCTGCCTTGCAGAGTCGGCACTAGTAAATACAAATAGTAAACAATCTATTTATCAAATACATGTAATCTATATTTGTAATGTCTACCCTAACCATGCAAGTTGTTGATTCTAAATACTGTCAAGGGTTAGAGCCAAATGTGCGTACGTGATGTTGCTGTGGTAACACATGTGGCGAAGAGGTTCTCTTTTTGGGGCATAGTGCCTGGAATGCGTTCCCCTCAAAGTTCTGAACAAAGATGTCTGGAAAGGGGTCTACAATTTCAACATTCATTACTAAAATGACTATACATTTTAGCAAATTGTCTGAAAAGGGGTATTCGTTTTCCCATTTTAGCTGCCTGGAAAGGGGAAAATCCCCAGGTAAGTCCCCAGGGGAACATACACAGGAGCATGTGCCCTCACGCGGTAGACTAGTTCAGTTTAACCGATCCAGACACAGGGGGCGCAATAATAGATTGTTAGGAAGAGGAATGGCAGTGAACAACAAACTAAACTACACCCTTAATTTTGTGAAATTTATCACGTGAGCAATCCATTAAAGTTTATCTTGAAAATTATATTACAGTTCACCAGCCTTGATTTCAAATCTACGTCTTACACAAGTATGGCTGTCGTCGGGGAAAAACTCCTCGGCTTTACATTCTTTGTCTTGTCCACTCCCATGCCTCGTAAAAACAACATATTACAGTACACAGTTTCACGGCGAATTACACCATGATAACAATCAACTCCATATTGTGAAGAACATCAACGTCAGCATTCCTAGAATGGTTGTTTTAATCCGTCAATTCTGTATGCTGACGTCATCATCATGTAAATTACCAATTCATGAGTTCAAATACACGTGACATTGTAGACAAACACTGATATACACTACATATAGTCATGCATAATTTAATGGTTAAAAATCTTCTACCCTATTTAAAAAAAAAAAAACCAAAACAACCCATCTTGAAATTTAAAATTTCTTCCGACCAGGAAAGTTGGCTCAGTGGACTATTTAACTGAGAACAGAGAAAACTCGTGACCATAGGAAGGGAATATTTTAAAATTGTAAAATGTGAGCGCGACCGAGTATAAAACAGTGTGACTATTATATAATAAAATATTTCAGATAATCAAAAAATGTTTCGTTGTTCATCAGCCATAAACGTCATCACCGAGCAAAGGTCACGTGATACTAAGCGGTTACTCTCCCCTTCTCGATATTTTCGAGTTCACGGTGGATCTGGCAAGCAGCACAGGGACCACAGTAGGTGGTAGCACAACAGTCATACATCATTGAACCCTGCAATAGAAGAAAACAAACAAAACTGTTTTGATTGGGTTACTATTGCATGTAAACTTTCACACAACTTTTCAGCTTCTAGCTCCTAACGTGTTACAGGTCCACAGAAAGTTATACCCAGCCCAGAAGATTCGGATTTGATTATGCATAAATACCATTCCAGCAGGTATTACTATGACGTCACAGTGACGTCATAGTGTAGGTTATTTTGTTCATAGGAATTACCGTTTGGTTGTTCTTACTTTGAATATAGCAAATTTCTAAATAGTATTATTTTAATTATCAAAACAATATTGATATAGACGCAGCGCCGTCTCTTCATCCATTTTGCATTAAAAAAAGCGCTCTAGTCACTAGAGGGCGCGATGGTCTATAACACGTCTCAATTCGGTGTGGGGTGGGTGGGATGCACAGGCCCAAAAGAAAAGGCAGGATAAGAGCTGCATTCTTTATTTTGCCTAATTTGGGTGGGAGCTTAAATCAACATTTTGACCGGAACTAAAATAGTGGTTTACGTTTTCACAAAAAATAGGGCTTAATAATCCTAAAAAAGAGTACTCTCAGCTCTACAAAAAGCTGGGAAGTGTATGTACATATCTTTCCTACGCGAGTACCCACTCAGACCGAACGTCTCTGATTCCAGGTGTACAAGACAGTTTAATAGGAACTAAATATTGATCTTGTCTCGTACATACAAACCGACCATGCCCTCCGCGACCCACTGTCACACAAAGCGATTACGTACACTTTTAACTATTCGCTATTTGAGTTAAACCCTGCCAGACGTTTGTGGCAGTGATGCATTTATGCACGTACCGTAATCCACTTTCCAGTCAATCTGCGACTATAATGGTTGCGGCTGCCGGTTATATACTTACACCCTAAGATGTACCCCACAAGTCATACTCACCTCGATATGGTGCTGAGTTCTAACTTTAACTCGCATTGCTGTTAGAGCACCTGGCACACAAATGGGTACACAACAATGCTCGTTCATTTTAGTGGCAAGTTGACACTGGAAGCATGGCAAACAGAAATAACCACAGAGGCCTGTAGAATAATCAGATATATATGCATGATAATGGAACCACGTTATAAAACAATGGTATTTAAGGCCATGAATAAACGGTCATAAAAATAGTGCAAGAAAACGTTTGTCCAGTCTTGACAGACATCTAGGAAATCCCATTTCAATTATATACATAGTAACCGAGAAACTGATGACGTAAACATATTTATTTTGCATTTCGCAGCAGGACGTTGTGTCTATCATAAATTTCGCCATGTCAGCCTGAGACTGAACAAAATGGTGTCAGTGGATCTACATATTCATTTTCTTCCACTTATATTTTCTTGGTTATTTCGCCTATCTATAATTGCAGCATGACGGTGGTCTTCGCGATGCGTGTACTTTGGATATGGGTCCCACCCGGCGAACAACTTACGCCAACTGAATACATATGTTTACTAGAAATTCGTGCTACACAAACCACAATATTTTAAAAGATACACATCTGTAGACCGTGATCTGATATACCCATACCGTGGCATACATCTTTTTTTAAAGTTAAGTATTACTTACAGCTTTTAATGTCTTCAAAACAACCAAACAGTCCGGTTGACCAATCCCGCTCTTGAAAGGTTACCTGTAAACAATACCATACGCGTCCAGTAAAATGTATTGATATGATACAGCGACGCCCGGTGCGATTGGCCTCAATGTCTTAAGGGGTTGGTTTAAGGGGTGGACAACTATTTCAGAAGGAGTGGTCAGGAGATTTCACTTGCATTGTTTTTTCTCCACAGAAAATCCAATTCAAACTAGCTCTTCTCACCCCCTAATGCCTCCCACAACTACTAGTCAACACTCCCGCATCATTGAACGATCCCATTCATATGTATATGCGACACAACTTTTTAACCGCATGTCACAACTCAACAATAGTGCTTTATTTTGCGTTTTATACACAAATGCCTGACTTCAACAGAGACATTGCAGTTATCTTAAAATTGAGCACGTGTCCGAGTAATATTTTCTTTCACAACATTTATCCAATCCGACCAGCCCCGAGGATACGTTTTGTAATAGACCCAGTATGAGAACTAACTAACGGCTTTGTGTTAACGCGGTCTCGGATATGTGATACGATTCCCCGTACATGAGTGACTTATGTGAAGCAGCGTGCACTGGTTTGAAGAGGACAGATGGTGTTTAAACCATAAATAGATTGAACTACTCACGGAGACATGCTGGGTAGTGACGACAGTGTGACCTCCTGGTTGCGTGGTTACTACTTGTTGGGCCATCCTCGCTGATTACAGATGTGTACGGCGAATTCTATAAATATAGTAAAAAACGAACATTTTATTAATAAGAAACACATCAGACACGACATATAAAAAATAACGTTAGTCGCAGAATTATTTTCATTTCGCTACTTCTAAAATATGTACAATATCTATTAAAAGTACATACCGGCACGGTCTATGATTTCAAACCCCAAGGAGACGTATTGATTTAGTAGTGTTTTAATAACACCATCATTATTGTCTGATAGCAGTATTTATTATCTTAATAATAGTAGCGATATTGTTAATCCTGAAGACATTTTTTTTAAAAGAACTCATGGAGCGGGCACCATCAAGCTTCCAAAATAAATCCTTAGCTTTATTTAAGCTGTAGGTATCAACTTGAAAGGCAATATCCAGCATTATAATACCACAAACAAACAAATAAACAACTCGTTCACCACTGAGCAAAGTTAGAAGTTCATAGATATGTAACAGCAGAAAAAGTCACATAAAACAGCAAGTTACTCCGAAGGTTAAAACTTGAAATGCTTTGTCTTGTTTTAATAGTCACAGAAAAATTAAAATTCCTTCAGTCTTCGATTACACCCAAACGATAAGATTTTGCATAGAAATACTTAATCAGTATTGTGAAGGAAAGTATATACTTTGCATTATGTGTGTTATAAATTGTAGAAGTTTGTTTTGAATGGACGATGGAAGGCGATTTTAAAGTGCCTTAGCACATGTCATTATGGAGTTTGTGCGCAGTTAACTAGAGAATACCCATGATGCCCTGCTTCATTTTATATTTTGCTATTTTCTGTATTATGAACGCTATAATGCAAATATGTTTTAATGCAGAATTACCTACTACTTCATGCGTTCAAAACGGCGTTGGTTTGTTTAGTAAGTTGTTTTGGGGAGTTATGTGTAGCTTGAAGCTCCATGTGTGTAACTCACTCTGACTTGATAATGATTGACTCGTCTGTTTGTTCATGGTAATATAGCGATGGACATTGTCTTTAATAACACACTTTATGTAGTGCAAGTGTCTGTTTACCTCTGTCAATTATGGAGCAATAAATTCAACGGAACACATTTGATACTATAAGTTCGTCATGTTTATTACCAGCTGTAAACTATTTGGGAAAATATATCTGCGTGAAACTTTTTACATTAATCAAGGATATTAATTTAGTGACGCCCGTACATGTGACGGCATATGCATACCGACCATCACCATCAATGGCTTTCACCTGTTTTCTCAGTGGGATTACTTTATGACTCAACCTAATGGATAACACACATAAATCGATAGATTATCAAAAGTATAATTTGACGGCGCATTGTTGGAATTCTTTCTCGTCATATGAATTTTCTAGCCCGGTTCACTGAATGTGTCGTTGATTGTAAATGCTGCAAGGGTACGCCAACCTTCGGGTTATTGAAGTTCAAAGAAGCGCAATTTGCATACCCAGGAATTCGATTATACCGAGCAAGTTATTTGAAAATCCTATTTAATATTCATTGCGACTATTGTGGCCGACTTAAATTAATAATGAATATTCATAAAAACCAAACAATGCATATATTTCGTATTTATAGTAATTATACAACTTACAAACGTACTATACGCATAAAAACGGGTATTTTTTTTACTTCGGGTCAAATTCAAGGCCACATGATTAACATAACTAGGGGCCCAATAATACTAAGCAAAGCTAAAACCATTTTCAAGTTCAAATTACATGCATATATTTCCGAACACACGGTGTCACATTTATAGTCGCATCCAATAATACATAATATCACGTTGAATCAAAAGCATTTCAACTGAAGTGAAATACTAGAATAAAATACAACAACACATAACAAAATAAACAACATTCTCGTCTTCATGATGTCAATTACAACAAATATAAAACTTTCTCCGTCTAAAAAACACACGCCTGTCTGTTGAATTAAATATCATCTACTTTCGCAAATGATGCCATACATACGAATAAACAAGCAATAATGGTATTTCCCCAATTAATAAATTATGATATTAATTAATCTCATTTGAGAAAACAGACGCATTGATATTAGGAATATTTGGAAAATTGTCAGTTTAAGAGGATTCTCCATTACTGAATTCGACACTGTGGCCAATATTGTCTTGCTATGCTATGTACATGACATTATTATTTATATTCCACTGTGATATATAAACACAGCATTGAGGTCAATAGTACACAATGTATATAGAGTTCATGATCAGTATAGTATACTGCACTGATGTTAATAATATGCAAATTATATTGTAAGAACAAGGTCAATAGTATTATAACGACATAAACCCTGAAATCATCGGTAGACCTCAGTTCAAATTCTTTCTGGCGGTTGAACACCAGAATGGTCGACCCCACCCCCTGCCGTCACGGTGTGTGTGTGCCACAGACTCAATGGGAAGGTATAGTATCGAGGTCAATAGAATATTACGATAATGTATTACTAGTATTTCACGACAATGACTTGTGAAATAGTCCAGGGGACTGCATAACCTGTGAAACGCCCTGAAAATGAATCGTGCAAAAGATGAAACACTGCAAACATGTATGTTTGCAAGAATGTGTATTCCGGAAATATTATCATTCTCACGACATGACCCTTTACAGTCACTCATTCAGTACTGAGTGAGATTCTGCACCACGGTAAAAATAGAAAACACCCTGAACTTTGTTAACGTCGATGCTCTCGCCTGTATGTTTACAGAGACTAAGACCGATGTAACCCGCAGCATATCATCATAAGGGCACACGATTTTTTGAACGAGGCGTTGTACGCCCAGGCTTTCTGATTCAGCCAGCCATGCATGACGCGTGTGTGTCTCCGGTTATGTTACATCAATGTCTACCGTAAGCCTGCGATAATACGCATGTATTAACATAATGTAGTAATTTTATCTGCGTCTACTCTGCGAATACTTGACTTGTGTTCATCTACACGACACGGCGGAGAAAAAACGCTATCTACGGCAATGTGTAACACTGAGGGTTTGCTATTACTGTGATTTTGCGATGTTTTTAAGACTGTTCTTATTATAATACCGTTGCATCCAGCTCGCTGCTCTCCTGTTATAATTTGAGCGCTTTCACATTTGACCTTCCACGGGCATTTGCATTTTGGGCGGGCGTTCGTGACTATAGTGCGGATATGTCAGTGTACATACTCTCTTATCGATTTAAATAAAGCTCAATTCAATTTGCGTGTTTAAATTATAGACATGAAAGCGTTAAATTGCATCTATTTTCATTGCGCCCAAACCAACGAAGGGTTTCTGATAACAGTGCACTCTCTCCTAGGTGTAATACTTGTCCTTTTATTACAGACACTAATCGTATATTTGGTCCCAAGGGAGATGTTGAGGTCAAATATCCGTTCAGTTGTATCACTATGAATGTTGTATATTGCATTTCATGTATTAGATGCGGTAAACTTTATATTGGTTCTACAGTTCGTCGACTGGGTGATCGGTTTGCTGAGCATCTACGGCAAACTAGACAGAAAAATCGTTATTATCCGGTTTCACTTCATTTTAATTCTAGTGGACATAATATTACAGATATGTCTATTTCTGGTGTATGTGTTGTCAATGGCAACGAAAATCAGCTCAGGCGTGTCGAGGAGGAAACTATATTCCGCCTTGGAACTAAAGAACCCCATGGTATTAACAAACAGTTCAACTCATTTGTTGAGCTCACTACCTAAGGCGCGTTATTTGTTCTATTGTGGATTTTTTTGTGATTCTAACTTATAGTTCATGCGCGTTCTTACGTTCCTATGTTCTACCTGTACGTTATCACACTTGCTTCTATGCTATCGATAAAGAGCCATTGCTCGAAACGTTTAGCTATTTTTAATAGTTATTTAGGACTACGATTACCAAATATTATCTTCAATATATCACTCTCTCACTGTGATTGGTGCTTACGTGGTACGAGTGTTAGAGTGGCATATTGAGGTCATTGTTCGATGCATTTAATTCTGAATGCATCTCTTTGATCGAATTGTTCCCAGAGTGCACCAATAATAAAACCTTCGTTTTGGACGAAGATTGATGAATCATTCAAATATTTAGGGTCAGTGGTGATTCGCCAGTATCCGATTTAGCCCCTCGACGATCATATTATTATGGTATGACGATAATCCAGCGATAATAGCCAATTATAAAATTTGTATTGCCAAATGTCTCAAAGTCGAATTCGAGAATGAACATTGCGAAATCATACGCCAAGCCGAAGTTCACACCTTTGGGAATAACGAAATAAAGACGCGCTCGTCATTAATGATAATCACCTACACTTGTTTGACCGTTAGCCTCGTTTCTATTATCTCGCATCAATTACGCCGTCACATCGAGCAATGATATTTACATTTACTGTAAAATGACTAATTTTCACTGGGTTTAAATTTCACTGATTTACCATTTCAGGCATATTCAGTGGGTTTTAAATTCACAGTTTTATCATTTAGATAATGTGTTCTATGCTAAATTTTACATATTCACTGGGTTTTAATTTAGCGCATATTCCAGTCAGCGAAATAAGCAAAAATAAAACCCAGTGAATAATTAACCCTTCTACAGTATATGAAATCGATATTGCAGCAGTATCTGTATGTACTTGAACTCTCAACACTGTTGGAAATTCATTTTTGATCGATGTATTATTCTAGTGAAAGTGTACATATAATACGTATGTATGCTAAATACACCGTCACATCATCCTGCAGTGTGACCACGCCTAGCAAACCACGCCGTTATCGCATGAACTACTTTCGCCACAGAATCATTACGGTAACACTATTTGCAAGACATATTCACGAAACAATGAAATAAATAATTAAACAGTAGGTAAGGTCGTTACGAATAAATACCTTATGTTAGTGTCGTTCCGGGACTCGCTTATGTACGATCAGAGCTCAATACGATTACAGTGACGGACCTCGTTCCAAAGTTTAGTTCATTGAATATTATAATTTAACACAGCTGGCACTTTTCATTATAATATAAACAAACATTGACAACGCTCAGTCCCCATTCCATATTTAATACCGTGATTCAGCTAAATAGTGTTTTAATGTGTACAGTCGTTGTTGGCAATGTCACGGTACTGTAATGTGGGTAAAGCACTGGACTGAGTTTGAACGAAATCAGCAAGCCATTTCTGAAAAAAAACAGACGTGCATCTGTAGCCCAATAGCTATGATCCTTGTGCGTGCAAAGCCGTGCTCCTCTGCGAGAAATGATACTGGACTCATTTACAGAATCTTATTTTAGGAGTTTAGACAAAATGAACGTCAAATCTGATCAATTCATACAAAATAACACAACCTATGGTGTAGTCTATGAGTATAAAACATATGTGCAAACTTTCAACTGAATCGGGCGATATACGAGTGAGACATCGGCATAGGCACGAATAAAAACAAAATGGAAATGATCATGATACAAATTTTTGAATGAAATTATTCTGTCCAGACACGTTTAAGTATCAGAATTTAACAACTTTGAGGACCTAACATGACCGCCAATCAGCCATACTTAATCAAATGGAATAACAATTGAAGTGCATGTGTAAGTCATCATACATGGTCTGTGTGTTAAGTTTAAATGTCATCGGTCAAAGCATGTCTTAGAAAAGGCTCGGACAAGCCCGATTTCCGGGACTAACAAGTTCAGACAATAAAGGCTTTTCACTCCCGCTTAATTGGTTAATGAAGACATACTTTCCATGGTTAATAACCAGAGTGTATATAAAGTTAGATGTTTTTTCCGGAGGGCGTGAATCGAATAGGGTAATGGACCACGGCAATAGACAATATATATGTAGGACCTGGTGTAACAGTTGTTGACTGTCCCGCTATGTTTGAATACAAACTATATTAGTGTACATAATAATAGGCAACAGCGTTAAAATGGAACGGTACTTGCACAATGCACACACCGTAAGACTATTAAAATGACAATTGCGTCCTTAGTGTAAATATTTTATTAACGACAGATAACAGTGAAGCCATGACGTGCAACACATTCATGGCGGCGCTGAGGGGTCTTGTGTACCATTTTTGCTTGTTTGTCACAGCGTTTCACTCTCGTAAATCGTAATTTTCTTCTTCACTCCTTTTAACACTCCCCATGAACATTGCCGCCTAAATATCCTGGCGGGAAAAAGAACACCGAGAACTCCTGTCCTAATATATACAAAAATTCCACTTTGATGCAAATAAGAAAAATGAATGCGATGAAATGAATTCAGCCAGCTGGTTCTCCCTACCATGAAACTAAAACACATGCTTCCCACACTCGACACGACAGGTCACTACGATGTACAAAAGCCACGAGTTCAACTCGAAAGGGAGACAAAAACACGATGTGACAGTGTTCGACTTCTAATATCAGCTGATTATTTCTTTTACGTGTATCCATTAATCGAATGAGAATACTCCATCTTGTCCGTCGTAGATGAAACTATGCGAGGAATGGCAGTGGTCAGCGGTATGGCAGCTCAGTTCTAGACGCCATATTATGCGGGGTCCCTAGGAGCAACCTCAATCTCTAGATAGGTATAGATTACATCATCCTAAGGTCGACATACTGTATTATTTAATTGTGTTCAAGTTAAAAATAAAATAACATAAAATGACATTTTCACTAATATTGAAGTTCAGGTTATCAGAAAAAGAAGTTGTAGGTCAAATTGACACGTACATGAAATTTAATATTCTTCACCCAGCGAGTAAATTTGTGAACATAAAAAAAACATAAAATATTTAGCGTTCTTGTGTTACTTTCCGCCAGTATCTTAAATATGTTTATCATAATAATAGTATTTGACCTTACGTGTGATCATTCGGTTGGCTCAGTATTCAATCTGAATAAATAAATAATAATAATAAAAATCAAACAGCTCGTGCGCTTTTAATACTGACGAAAAGTAATGTAAAACGCTTAATATTGTCTAATATCTGGCTTCATTAATATTATAATTATTATTATTTCCATATTACAACAGCACGAATCGTTCAGGCATTAATATTGCGGTCGTATGAGCACAGGGAGCCCAGGAACTATGATCAACTGTACGCACTCCCTATGAGCGGGGGCGGGGGGTATCGGCTAGTATCTCGTGTAAGAAATAGACAAGGGATGAAGGCT